GGTTTAGGGTTTAGGGTTTAGGGTTTAGGGTTTAGGGTTTAGGGTTTAGGGTTTTGCAGGTGGACGTGTGGTCCTTCGGCGTGATTCTCTACGCGCTGCTCTGCGGGTCTCTTCCTTTCGACGATGAGCACGTGCCCAATTTGTTCAAGAAGATCAAACACGGTAAACCCTAAACCCTAAACCCTCGGGGGCTCTCGCTGGGGTTTGCTAGGGTTTGCGATGGTTTAGGAGGCCCAAGGTTTTGCTGGAGGCTGCTAGGTTTTGCTGTTGCAGTTCTTTTTGTTTGCCACTCTCATTTGGGGTTTGGCGAGCTGATTAGGGTTTTGACGAGCTTAGACGAATTAGGGTTTTGGCGGACTAATTAGGGTTTTGGCTTGCCGTCTAGGGGTTGGAGTGTGGCCTAGGGTTTGGCTGATCGTCGAGGGTTTTGGGGGTGGTTTAGGGTTTGTCGTGCGTGCTACGGTTTAGCTTATGGCCTAGGGTTTAGCTTACTTGTCTAGGGTTTTGCGGGTGGTCTAGGGTTTGGCTTACGGCCTAGGGTTTGCTGGTGGTCTAGGGTTCAGAGTGCAATCAAGGGCTTGTTGTTTGTTGAGGGTTTTGGCGTTTCGAGGGTTTGTTGCACGGGGCTTTGTCCACTTCTCAATCCACCTCTCTAATTCGCTGATTTAGGGTTTACTCCCTGCATGCCCCCCCGCGCTCACGTGTCACAGCGTGCTTCCCTCCCGCCTGTATTCGCTGATCCAGGGTTTAGGGTTTCCACCGCTGCATGCCCACCCGCCCGTATACCTCGCCGTGTGCTTCCTCCCCCCCTCTATACGCTGATTTAGGGTTTAGGGTTTAGCGCATTGGACGCCGAATCGCACCCCCGTCCGTGCCCGGGTGAATGCGTGTTTGCGTGTATTGGGTTTCCCGCGGCCGCGCCCCCGCGGCGCAGCCCCTGCGTCCTCCCCAGCGCTATACGCTGATTTAGGGTTTAGGGTTTGCGCTGCAGGTAGCTTCACCCTCCCCGGCCACTTGAGCCTCTGGAGCCGCGACTTGCTGCTGCAGATGCTCGCCGTAGACCCCAGCCGCCGCATTCGTTTGGGGGCCATCAAAAGCCACCCGTGGTTTCAAGAGCTGCCGCAGTATTTGCTGCTGCTGCGGCCTGCTGCAGCAGCAGCAGCAACTCCCGACGCCCTCGTCCTCAACCAAATGGCCAAAGTCCCAAACCCTAAACCCTGCAAACCCTCCCAAACACTCCTAAACCCTTCCAAACCCTTCAAACCACTCCTAAACCCTTTTAAACCCTCCTGAACCCTTGTAAACCCTCCTAAACCCTTGTAAACCCTCCTAAACCCTTGTAAGCCCTCGTAAACACTGATACACCCTCGAAAACCCTCGTAAACCCTCGGGGTAGAACTCACCCGGCCCGCGCGACATGCAGAAGTGCAGGGTTAGATGTGCAGCACTCGCAAACCCTCATAAACCCTCATAAGCACTCGTAAACCCTCATAAACACTTGCAAACCCTCATAAACACTCGTAAACCCTCATTTACACTCACAAGCCCTCATTAACATGGGCAAACCCTAGAAACACTTCCAAACCCTGAACAGACGCGAAATATGCGCGCGCGGAAGCCCTGGGAGGGTGTCCACAGACTCTGGGGTTTAGGGTTTAGGGTTTAGGGTTTAGGGTTTGGGCGCAGCTGGGGTACGACGTGAGCGACCCTTCGGTGTTTCGAAGAGGCCTCGTGGGGTTTCCGAGAAGCCGCGAGGCTGTGGCTTATCAGCTGCTGTCGGACCGCCGCCGCAAGCAAATAGCGCTTTCTGGTGCAAACCCTAAACCCTAAACCCTAAACCCTAAACCCTAAGCTCCGAAGGCTGGAGCGTGGAGCCCTCGGCAGCAGTCCTTGGAAGCACCCGGCGAGACTTGACGCCGAGCACAGGCAGCCCGCGGCGCGCCACCAGGATTTAGGTTTCAGGGTTTAGGGTTTAGGGTTTAGGGTTTTTGTGCAGGAGCAGTCGCGGAGGAGCTGCCCACTTTCCCCTTCAGCGTGGTGCAGCGCCTGAGCCTCCGCTGCTGCGGAGGGGCTCCTTCTCGTGCTGCTGCTGCTTCGCTGCTGTCGCTGCAGCAGCAGCTGGGGGCGCAGCTGCTGGGCCGCAGC